ATTCAAAATGCGACAATTGGGTTTCGCTTTTGGTATACGACTTTTCGATTTGGAGTCGTTGATGTCGACTTTTGGCAAAGGACTACGACAAGACTATGAAATGCGAATTTGTTACCCATGAAACGAATTGGGAAGAAGAAAACAAAGAAGTTTCGATTTTGGTTCCTAATCTTTTCACGAAATGGCACAAATGGTCCAATTTCAACATGATGAAAATATTTTGTGAAGAAAGCTAAAGTTTCTTATTTAGCTCCTGCAATTTCGAAATGTTGGCAAAGATTACCCAACTTCGAAATTGTGCTGAGAAATTGAAGAATTTACAAGTTCAGTCCCTGCAATCAATGCGAAGTTACACTTTAGGCCTAGTTTCGCAAATGGGGGAGTGTTTAGCATCTTAATTTTTATTTGGCACAACGGGTCCCTGCAAAATTCATAAAGTGACAGATTTTACCCGAATTTTGGAAAATCTTGCAACTCTCACCCAAAAGTCAGAAATTTTCAGAATTTGGAAATTTTTCAAGGTTTTTTTGTGATTGTTTTTACATGCATGTTTTTCAGTGTATCATTTTTTGGCACACATCAAGGGGGAGTTATGTGAAGATTATTCCTCGGGTGCTTCTCACCCTTAATGGGTTTTATAATCATTTTTTGATTATAAAAAAGGGGAGAATGAAGAGTGGGTATTCGAAGCTTCGGGTATTCATTTGTAGATTTGAAGACCGATATCATTTCAAGGGGGAGTTTGGTCTTGATCGCGCAAGCTTGTTGGATATTGAAGCCGAGACATTCAATCGTAACTTCGAGGGGAAAATGTTAGGGTGCAAAGTCACGCCTGGATGAGGCTTAACCTCTTGTATGTGTAAATGGGTTGAGTCTTTCCTATAAATAGGAAGTGAATGACTCCCATTATGTAAGAACTTGTAAGGAAAATTTGGAGAGCATTAGTTTTAGAAAGAGAAATAGCAAATCCATTTGTACTCTTTTTAACCAAACTAATGAGAGCTAAAACCAGATTTATTTACTCCATGTGTTCATGATTTGTATGATGATTCACTAAATCAAATCAATTCTGCACATGCCATCATAATCAACACCACTACAAAGGCTGATTATCTGATGTTAAGGGGAGGAGCAGTGAGTGCACCTGCTCTAGCTACTTTGAGGAACAATGATGGTTGTGAGGGTAAGGTTGGAGCCCCAACATATAGGAGTCGGGCATTGTAGTATCAGACAGGGGAGGTCAGGACTCCATCAGGTGATGTTGTAGGTATGTTATCTTTTTCTTCCTTTTTGGTTGTTATCCGTATTTATGTTGTTTGGAATCTTACCTCAGTTTGGGTAAGCGTTATCTTTGGTTTAATTCTCTGTTTATGTTGGGTTATATATTCAAGAATTGTTATATTCTATTTGCAAGCCACAAAAATCAATGGGTTAGGGAGGGGTTGTATCTCGTGTAGCGGATTCCAAAGTGTTCGGTTGTCATTCTGGTTTTTGGTCGAGATCGGTTAAGGGGTATTATGTGGAAGATCTATGGTTAGAATTCAATGGGTTAGTTCTCCAGTATCGTCGGGGTTCCGTGGTTTTAGCTTTTGTGCTTGGTTGGCCATTGGGAGTGCCAAGTTGAAATGGTCTATTGCTAAGGTTTTGGTCTTGTCACCAGCAAAAAGGACTTCAAGATGTGGGTGTTGTATCATCGAAAGCATTTGGGGGTGTCAGATTGTTAAGATTTCAGGGAGATTTCATCGGGTCTTCGAGGGTTGTGTAGTCTTTAGCGTTTGGCTAGTAATGGATCACTAGCATTAGTAGGTGCAGGTTGTCAATGTTTCAAACATAAGGGGTAAGATGGATTGAGAATCCTTCAAACCTTGTGTGTTGTAAGGGCTTAGTCGAATCAAAGTGGTGGAGAACCATTCAGATATCTGGGAGCAGAGTAGATGTGAAACTAGGATGCGTTTCACATCCCCATCAAGGAGGAAGGCGGCTCAAGTGGCTGTCTGGATTGAGGGTTGTGCGAGTTGGGAGTTCGGGAAAATTCCTAGCAGTTGATTAGCGCCTTCTTGGTGATGGATAGCAGTCTTTTGGTGGACCTGAGTTAGGGATGCCAGTCATGACTCGAGTTCCACTTGGGTGCTTGGTCGAGTGCATGTTTGATTCTGGATGTGTTTGGATTTATAGATGAGCGGTAAGGCCATAGGCGGTGGCTATGTCAAGTTAGAAGTGTTATAAGACCGCGGGGTGGCCCATAGAATTCACTAGTTGGCGGTTAGTGTAGATGTGTTGCAAGACTACGGGGTAGCCCGTAACATTCACTAGTTAGCGGTTAGTGTAGAAGTGTTGTAAGACTACAGGTAGCCCATAGAATTCATTAGTTGGTGGTTAGTGTAGAAGTGTTGTAAGACTGCAAGGTGTCCTGTAACATTCACTAATTAGTAGCTAGTGTGGGGGTGTCGTAAGACTGTGGGGTGGCCTATAGCATTCATCGATACTTGTGCAGCGGTGAGGGTGTGGCAAATCCATGACTGGTCACAAATTTTTTCAGATAGTTTAGACCAGAGTGGGTTAGTTCGTAAGACTGTGGGAAGGTCACAACTTGTTTGGGAATCAGGAAGGAGTAGGTCAATTGGAGATCGTGAATGGTATGATACTACAATTGGTTATGTAGCATCCTTTTTAGCATTGGAATTGGTCGCAGAATGGTTTTGGCAAATATAGTTAGATAAAGTTTCTCCCGAGAGTCACGTGGGGCGACCGTGTATGTATGTCTCTCGACTCAGCAACCAGACAGGAGTCCGGTGTTTCAGATAGTTTGCAAACAATTTAGGACCAGGGAGGTCTCGACTGCTTTTGGAAAGCAGTTAGGGGGCAACAAGATGACTAGACGAGTCAAAGTGGTTTCAGTGATTTAGGATTCGTGTATGGAGTCGCTTGTTATTCGGGGCATATTCTAAGTCGCTTGTATTTGGATTAAATAATCTCAGAGTGGTTGATTAGACCCTGTTGCGTAGCTCTCGTATGATTCTAACCATTACAGGGAGGAATCTTCTACTCATAGGATTATCTGAGCGTTCCGTAATGTATGAGTGTTCTGAAACAGTATAAGGTCAGTGATTTTGGTTTCCCCATGGAAGCTTCAAGAGTGGGAAGTGTTTTGGCTTTGTATGAAATTCACTGTGGAGTTGGCATGTTAGTGGTTCAATGTCGATGTTCAGTCGGGAGTCATACCAATTTGATATTTCGGGTTTCTAGAAAGATAGAGGTGGTTTTCTAAAAGGGTTTAAGGTTCGTTCTTCTTCACTTTTAGTGAGTTCTGCTAGGGTTGGTTTCAGTTTCCTTGGGAAGGTTGTGGTATTCTTGGGTTTGTGATTGTGTTGCTCCGGTTGTTTGGCGTGTTCGGAATGCCTTATTCCGAATCGTTACCTATTTTGGCGTGGGTGATGACTTGTAGGTGTTTTGGGCGTTTGGATTTGGTTTTGGAGCCAAGGGGTATTTTGGTAAAATGGCAGCGAGCTTTTATTTGAAATTGGATTTTCATTCTGGGATCTGTATGGCAAGTTTAAGTTGATAATAGTGTAAGGCTTCTCGATACCTTTTCTTTGATATAAGGATGGTCGGAATCGGAGTTACATCGAGAAATTTATGGCCTTTAGAATGAATCACTACTAGAAAAACAGCCTTTTACGATGCGCAAAACACGACGCTCTTTGATTTATGTTACGCATTAGAGAGCGACATTAAAAAAGAGTCATCTCTTCAAAAAATTTAAGAATTTAGGTCGCGCATTACTGAGTGCCCTTAAATTAGTGTCTCCCGAAAAGAAATTAAAAACACGGAGGGAGCTTTATTTTAAAGGTGCGTCCTCTATATTTGTCGCTTTATAATTTTAATGAAAAGGCGCGTTTAGTAGAGGTGGGAAACGAAATCCCCAAAATTTTGAAAAGTCGTCTCTACCTTCTTTCTATCTTTCATCTTCTCCCCTCTCGCTCCCTCCTTCTCGCTCCTCTCTGATCCGCTTCCCCGCCACTCCTGACCTCCTTATCGATCTCATCAAACAGCGCGTTCCATCCTTAATACCTCGCGGGAATCTAAAATTTAGAAAACCCTGTACCCAAAAAGTCTAAGAAACTAGGGTTTTTTCATCCCTCAAAGAACGACCCACATCCTCCATAGATCGATCTCTATCGCTTCATTTCTCACAAGAAATCAAACACTTTACGTTCATAGGGCCACAATTGCAAGGATGCTCACTCACCTTTCTAGAGAATACCTTCGCATATATAACACGATCATCTTCACAAAAATGGCTGCCACCATTGCTTGAGCGGGCTCAAGCTACGATCGACAATCAGAGCTCAAAGATTTCGACCAAACAAAAACCAGCGTCAAAGGCCTCGTCGATGCCGGATTCCAATCGGAGCTAGGGCTTTTTGTGAAGAACTTGCCCCGCCTTTCTCTACTGCGTGTTCACTCTTCTGCATCTCCACCCTCCAATGAAATCCAATCACCAACGATTATATAACAGTTCTTTCTCATGTTCGAACCCTAGATCTCACCTCGTACCTTACTACATCTCTATAACAGTTCTTTCTCATGCTCGAACCCTATTTCTTTCTCATGCTCGAACCCTAGATCACCAACGATCCTATAACAGTTCTTTCAATTGCTTGATTTTGTCGATTCGTATACGATTGCATCAGCAGCTGATCCAGTCTCGCACCAAAATCTGTTTGAAGAAGATTAGAGATAGAGGGAGAGGTAGGGCTCGTGGTGGTGGTGGTGGTCGAGGTCAAGGAAGATCATTTGGTGGTGGAAGACCAACAGGGCCACCTCGCAGAGGTCCCCTTGCTGTGAATGCTCGACCAACAGGAAGATTATTTTATGGCTGATGTTTATCTAAAACGGGTCGTAATCCCTTCACAAATCTTTAGTTATATTCTATATTTTGATATTTTGATTTGGAGGATTTGTTTTTTTGATCGATGGTTAATGATTATAAAGTCGTCATGGAAAATCTTAATCCACAAAGGTTTGCAGGTTCATATACGCTCTGTAATTTAGATTTGATCTGTCGATAGTTTCAATCTCAAAGATCAGATCTTTATGATCAGGCGTTTCCAGGTTCTTCCTCTCTTATGTTGTTCTAAGCGTTATCAGGTTCTTTTTATGGTCTCTTCTATGAGGAGATGCAGGTTATAATTAAGAATTTATCTACGAATCCACTTGCTGTGGCAGATCGATAGGGTTATTAGTTTATATCTGGAAGAAATTAAAGATTATATATTATTATCCAAGTGGGTCATGACGATAATTCCAGCTTCTCCCTGTATGTTATTATCTTCGATCATGGTTATGGCAGATGCATCAGGTTATTGGTTGATAGGTCGATTAAGTTATCACAAATACTGTTATCCTTGTTCAATTTCTTACCTTGGATGATAATTTGATTTTGATCTGAATCTGAATTAAGGCTCTACTGTGCCAGATCCATAGGGTTATTGGTCCGTAGGTAGGGAGAAGTTTTCAGTAGATATTATTGGCATACGATTTCAGGTTCTTCTTCTGGTAGCATCTTCAATACAGTTTTGATTGCATAGCTTGGTGTGGCATAATGCCCTGTCTATGTTTTTAGGGGCCGAAAATTAAGACACGATAATAACATCTTTTAAAGAACTCGTATATCAGATTCCAGATTTTGATGATCAATTCATGTGGGGTGGAGTAAGATTTAATTGATAGTTAGTTTTTGTATTTCTGCCTTCTCAATTTGGTTTTGGCATCACAATCAAGAGCAGTTAATTAGATCATTTATTGTGTCTGTAGTAAAATAATTGTTTTAAATTCTACAATCTCTCTCTCTCTCTCTTGCTTTATGTAGAAATTTACTAATAATTGTTTTTTTTTAATAGGCATTGATGATTTGGATAATTGGTGAAGGTGATGAAAGAATTGATAATGCTGATGAGCTTCTTGAAAGCTTCCTTGAGACTTTCCCTGAAGAACCTGCACAGTTATAACCCACACACTGTACATTTGAAGAAACAAATTTGGTATAACTTCATCCCTTCATCAGTAAATTTGGTATAACTCATGTTTGTTCAGATTTAATGGTATTCTTTTTGACTTTGACAGCTAATATGGGACAGAACCCTTGGGTTGCCACTAGAGAGATCAAGAAGATCCCTTGGGTTACCAGCCACTCCCAATGCCATCATAGAAGAAGACCCTATTATGTGGATTGGTTTGGAAATAAAGGCACTTCTTCAAAATGTTGGGAAATCTTTTTGTCCAAATTATGTGGATTGGTTTGGATTTGAAGCTGCTGATATACCTCCAAGAAGTGCTGATAAATCAGTTTTTCCAAATTTCTACAAACAAATCCTTCTGATCATACTACCTTTAAATTAAAGGTAATCCAAACTCTTTTATCAAATTTCAGTATAAATAACACAGAAACAGTATTTTAATTGCATGATATATTTTTTTTATTCAGGAAATGGTCAGATTGATGAAAGAAAAACGTTTTCCTGCTGCTTTCAAGTGTTACTATAATTTCCACAAAATTAATTCGATATCTAGTGATAATCTTCATTATAAAATGGTGATCCATGTGCATAGTGATTCAACCTTCAGGAGATACCAAAAAGAGATGAGATTCAAGCCAGATTTATGGCCACTATATCGAGGTTTTTTTTTGTTGAAATTAATCTGTTCAAGGCAAGTAAAGAGAAATACCCAGAGATTTCCAAAAATACCCCCGGCATTGGAAAAAATTACAAAGATGGCAATGAAACATCTACAAAAAACCAGTTTAGCAGATGACGATGCAAATCTAATGATCAAGCTGAAATTTTCTTACATATAAGGTATTATATATATTATCCCCTAGTTATGTGGTCGAAATTACTTTTATACCCTTCTGACATAATTCAGTTATGACTTATGACACAGCTGCGAACTTTCTTGATTCACAACGGGTTGTCGATTCTTTTCAAAGAAGGTCCAATTGCCTATAAAACCTACTACCTCAGGTAACCTTTACACATAAGGGCATTTATGTCATTTTGATATCATTGTATCATAATTAGACCAAATTGCATGATGTAGGCAAATGAAGATATGGAATACATCACCAGGAAAGCAGAGACAACTCAGTAAGATGTTGGATGAATGGTAATGAAGGAAGAAGGATTTAGTATTTTTTTTAATAAGAAAAGAATTAATAAATTATATAAATTTTTAGGGCAGTGTACGTAAGAAGGAAATACGGGAACAAACAGTTGTCATCATCAATCTACTTGAGTGAAGCTGAGCCTTTTCTTGAACAATATGCCTCTAATGAAGAAGTATGGAGCCAGGTAACTTTTTCTCTTCTTTCCTTCATCTGTTGTACCAATTGTTCCAGATTCCGAACGTTCTTATTTTATTATTTATTGTTTATTATTTTTTTATAAATGGATATAAGTTTGATTGGTTGTTATTTAAATTTTTTGTAGGAAGTGAATAAAATCCATTTTCTCTTGATGCATTAGCAGTTTTCATATATCTTGTAGTCAACCGAGTCAATCACCCTGTAGTTAAAGTGTTCTACAACAATACTTTTCTGGGTGCCTTAAGGATGCTACTAAAGCCATTGGAGGTAATATATATATATATATATATATATATATATATATATATATATATATATAGAAAACTAGTGATAAGAAAACTAGTATTATAACCCTGAAAAATAAAAATAAATTTGAAGAATTTCAGTAAGCACCTGTGGTAATTAGCGAAAAGAAAACTAGCTAACGATTAGAAAACTAATATTTTATCCCAGAAAAATAAAAATAAATAGAGATATAAGGTCATAATTAGATCCTATTTAAAGATATGTGAGTATGTGTAAGTGTGTGCAAGTGTTTGTGTATATTTTGTCTATTAACTTTAGGCATATTTCATCCCTTCTATCTTATGCATCAAGGCTAAACCAAGGTATTGACTAAAATACCCCCGGTATGTTAATTTTTTTTCTGTATTACCAATAAATGCTAATTTTTTTTTATAATAGTGTTAACTCATCATTTAAAGTGTTTGTATGGAAATTATCTTATGGTGTGTCCAATTTTTCTTACCAATAAATGCTAATTTTTTGTAATAGTGTTAACTCATCAAGTTTATATGAATCTAAAGGTTGCATGATTCAAATTTGCAGGTCTTGGGGTGGCATATCCATCTTACAATACAAAACAAAACCACAATAGAGGTTAGAATAATGTTTTAGTGTGTAAATGCATGTAGATCAATGTTGTGTTAGATTACATGATATCTTTGTTGTTGTAACCTGTTTACACTAAAAAATGTCAATGGCTAACTTTTTGGGATTTTTCAGTTAAAATTGTGCAGAAGCATTTCTTATGCTGCAGTTGGTGCTCATGCAGATCAGACTAGCAGGAGGAAATTAGCACCTTTCCAGGTTCCTTTGTTACTAGGCATTGGGGAAAAAGATACAGCCCCGACTAAGGCAACTGAAAGTGGCGATACTGATCTTGTTTATCTTGTTCTCTTTCATATATGGCAGAAGGTATTTATTGTTTTCTTATTTGATTAATTATATAATAATGGTAAAATTAAGTTCTCAAATTGTTGGGTTGTATAGAGACTAGCATTGGAATTATTTGGAATGATACAAGCTAGACTTATTGCGCACGATCTATTCATACGAGACTCAAGATATCATATTTTGGCATAGCTAAAAGCTTTGGAGGAAACGAGACTCAAGAAAAAGTAAACGTATACAGAGAGTTGTTGGCACATAGTAAGCTAGATGATGCAATTGTATATAAATGAGTTCATTTTTTATAACATTTACTCACCTTTGGAATAATTATTTGTATTTGACATATTAGTGAAATGAATTATCTTTGTTATTTATGGTATTTTATTTTGTATTATGAGATTTTTAATGTATTATTTAATTTGAAAATTAGTAAATCTATAAAAAATATTTTTTTTAAACATTTAAAATTATGATACGCAAAAATATGTGTCATCTTCATTTATGACATGGCCTTTCTTGACAGGGGCTTTCTTGATACACATTGCGTGTCATTAGCACGCGCGTCGTAAGGTTACGACACGCGAATGCGTGTCGTCTTCCTTTATGACAGGGCCTTCCTTGATACGCATTGCGTGTCGTATACGCGCGTCGTAAATGAGCATCGTAAATGCGCGTCGTCTCTCTTTATGACAGGGCCTTCCTTGACGCGCATTTGCGCGTCGTCTGAGCCTTATACGACGCGCAATGAGCGTCGTAAAAGGCTGTTTTTCTAGTAGTGAATTTTGGTTTGAGCGAAGACCCTAGTACGTGGGGCGTACCAAGGAAGTACGTGGGGCATACTGGTGCGATGGAGGTTACACCATGTGTAATGGAGAGTATGTGTAGCGTAGTGTGCGACTGGGATCGGGGTGTGAGACCTCGTACCCTGGGTGTACGAGGGTCAGGTTGAAACCATAATTTTTAGGGATGTACCTTATAGAAGCTTAAGGCCAGCCCCTTTCCCTTATTTCTAAGTCAACCTCTATACTCTAAAAACACTAAATCGACCTAGTAGCCTCTTGGAGGTGTTCTTGAGCTATTAAGAGGCTTTGATGCTCATTTTTGCCCTCGGGGAGGAAAGAAAAGAAGCTTGAAGTTGTTTGGAGTGGTGTAGAGGCTTTGAATCTAGAATCATCATCTTGTGGGGAGGATTTTTGAGATAACAAGTTTGCATCTTGGCTTGTGTGTGATTAGATCTCGTCATGGCTAGTTTATTATGTTTTTGGTCTCCTTTTTTGGTCTATGGATGTGTTGGATTGTCATAGGTCTTGTTCTTTCAGATTCGAGTTTGTTTTGGTATCCTGGAGCATAAAGGTGCAAGCTTTATGTGTATTATGGAGTCATGCATGCATTAAGTCAACCATTAAGTCCCTTTTTAGCTTAAGAGCTTATTTTTGAAGGGTTTTGAGCATTCTAACACTCCTATGGTGTACATGCAACCCTAGATGCTTTGGATATATGTTTTCTCTAATATACATGCAAACTATTTTTTTCAAAGCATCATCCTAACTAGCATACAATGGAGTATCTTTACTACAAATTCTAGTTACATGACATACCTTTTGTTGTAGTTGGAAGCCTTGGACCTTTAAGAACTTATTCCCCCAAGTGTTGCACCTCAAATGGAATCACAACACACCTTTGGACAAAGGAGACTTTTGAGAGAGTATCTTCTTGCACCAACATCGGCCAGCCCTCTAGTATTCCACTTAAGTGCCATTTTGGTAGCCATGAGGCTTCTTATATAGTGTGGAAACATTAGGGTTACTCCATGTAAGCCTTAACGACAATGACCTTCCATATTCCTTAGGATCCATGGGTTTAAACCTCCATGAATCGTCCATGGGTTGTCACATGGGTTTAGACCAACCTATGTAATCATGGATCATTGGCCCACACCATAAGAATGAATGATTTACCAATCAACCCCTTATATTTAATTAGTCTCTTTTGATCACAAAATTAATTACAAATTAATTCTTGATCAATACCAACTAAATTATATGATTTCATATTAATATACTAGAACTTATAATATATTAACAAATCATAAATAACCTCTTCTCAAAAGTCCATCCTATCAACTTGTCCTGGTGATATGCAACGCAAATGGACCATGCTACTCTCGGGTCAAGTACCTACCAATAATAGTTATGGGCTTAGACACCAAATCCAACAGTCTCCCAATTGGATAAGTCTAATAACTATCATTGCAAGCATGAATCCAACCCGACTAGCAATCGTGGCTCTTAAAATCCGTTGTCAAATTTTGACCTAATCAATGATGCATCCATTAGATAAGGGATCATATATTCCTCCATTCTAGATATTATATGGACTAAAAAATGGATTATAATCATTCTCTCTATCCATCTGTTGTTTCTCGTTTTCCGATTTATAACGACCGACTAATTGAACAAATCAAATCAGTCCAGTCATGGTGTCATCACTAAATCATCAAGGGGCCTACAGATATCGCCTTTATCCACATGGGGTAAAAGGAACGGATAAACTTCGAACCAAATGATCGCTTGTACTTACTCATCAAATTACACACAACAATATGTTTTATAACATCAAAGTTACTGGTGCGTTTAGATAAGTCAATGTGCAACCGACTTGCAACTACAATTCACATGTTTCCGTTTCAAGAATATAAGATATTATCATCTCGCAATCACTCGTGATAAAATCCATGAACAGATTCAGATGAGTGTGGGTTGAATTCAATACTCGAATCATATTCTAGAAGTACTCATAAACGCTGAAACTATGTCTAAAACACCTAGACAAACTACAAACCCATTCATGACAGTCTTGCCTC